TATATATATATATATATATATATACTGTATATGTTTGTGTATATGTGTTATCGGTTATCAGTTATCGGTATCGGCCTTTCGGAGCAGAAAGTTATCGGTTATCGGTATCAGTTTAAAAGAAAAGTTATCGTGCATCCCTAGAAAATTGTATGCATTGTATGTATGTATTGTATAATGTTGCTTTGGGGCATGTAAATACACATCTTGTTGGATCACTTTATTTAGCATCCATGTAAACAAATAAGTCGGAATCTTTGATTACAATGATTTCAATCAGACAAAAGAAATATTGTTCATGTAACCGCAGCTACTGTGGAAAGTAGAACTAAAGTTCTACTTGCCACACTTATCTTTTACAGCTGTGCGTAACACACCCAAAATGTCTGTTAAACATTCAAGAACATGCGTTTGTGAATGTAGTACAGTAGCTACTGTAGAATCAAACCATTCATCTGTCATGCTTTTTTACTTCATACTAAATAAGTTATTATGCATCTGTGTGTAGCGTAAATAAATCTTTGCTGAAGAATGATGAATTACCATTATTTTTTCTGGTCTTTTAGAGGAAAAGGTTTGGACCACACTGAAGAACAACCTGTCTCCTCAGACATCAGTCACCAGTGCAGACCAGGAGGGGAAGGCAGTGCTGCAGATTATTTACAATGTGACTGATGAACAGGTAGAGAATGATTACACACTTAGACTCACAGTAGTTCACCTGGATGTAGCACTTAGACTTAAGATCAGTTTTTGGAAGGAGGTAAATTTAAGTTTAAATGTAAGTGAAAACAGGCCTGTGTAACTGACAATTGTACATTAAAAAATATTGTATATGCCAGCATGAACAAAAAAAGTCACAGACCTGGGACACATGGTAATTTCAGAATAATTTACTTCCACAGCACAATATTTTCCTTTTCATTAGTACAACAACATCATGTCATACTCACCACCCTGCTGCCCTTACTGAAGTTTCTTTGATTAACACTAATACTTATCATCCATTTATTTAACACGCTTCTCCTCTCTGGATTTTCCCATTGATGTTAAACTACGGTCAATCTGTTTAGTCCGCTCAGTACTGAATGGGTCTAATCTGTAATCATTGAAACCTCAACAGGTTTAATTCAACACTGAAACATTATGAACAAAAAATTGTACAGTACATAACCATGACATGTTGCACAGATTCAAGGCCACTCCAACAAGAAAAAAAGCAATAATCAGTATTTTATGACATGATGATGTCTTTAAAGGTGGACCAGTTGATAACTAACTGACAACACTGGGGGGATCATGAAGTGTAGCATGTGAAACATCTTTCCTCCATAGCATATACCAAAATATGTCAAGATAAGCAGGTATTGTGTAATAAAGAGAAAACTTCTTCATATAACAAGATAAAGTGATGTTGTTATAACAAGAAAAGCTTCTTATTAAAACAGAATAATCTGCTATTTACTGATAATGGAAAATATGATATTATGCCATGAAGAAACTTTGATATAAATGAGAATGATGTTATTGTAACAGCAAAAACTAAGAACCAGAGTTTATTTTGTCATGGTGGCAGCGATACACTGCTGTGATGCCAGTACATCTAAAAGTTGATCAAAACATTTTTATATTGTAATCAATTCCAAATAACTGCTACTAGTCATTGTCAAAAAAATGAAACATTTGTTGTGTACAATGAAAGAGCACATAAAAACAAGTTGTCTCTCTGACTCCTTTCTCTGTGTGTGTGTCCAGATGTTGTCAGTCACCAGCAGTGCAGAGTACTGTGATCAGTATGTAGCCTACGCCTGCCGAATGTCTCGTCTGCTCAACAGTCCTGGTAAAGTTTCCCTTAGCATGTAGTCTGACTTGAGAAATGATCTGATGAAAGTGAAAGTAAACTGACTCCAGGCTGTTGGTTTGACTCTCAGATGGTGTCCCGTTTACCTGGTGGGTAGGAAGAGCCAATGAGAGGCATTCTTACTGGGGGGGTTCAGGACCAGGGATTCAGAAGTGTGCCTGTGGTATCGAACACAACTGCACTGACCACAAACACTACTGCAACTGTGATGCTGACCAGCGCACCTGGTGAGTGGACCACTGCTTGGCTGCCGCTTGCCACATAGTCTTTGTCTTCAACAAATTAGCACTGACTGGATGCTGGGGAGCACTTCATCCCAGCACTTCATCAAAAAGAGCTCCCGCCTCTTTTTGTAATGGCGTGCTCCGGATGGGTATGTTTCTGTGACAATATTGTAACACTGACATTAGCTAGGTCGCTAATGTAATGCCACATTAACAGAGGGTTGACTACACTTTTAACATCAAGCTTACAAAGCAAACGGTGACAAAAGCACAACACTCACCAGCAAGATCGGGGGTCTGCCGGCCGAGCTTCTCCCAAAAAATGAGCTTTTCTGTCTTTGTTGTCATGATTAGACAGTAGCGTAGCTAAAGAAGTGGCCGTGATGTCATCGGCACCTTTCTTAAAAGCTTGGCACATACGCGCTCTCCTTATTGGGAACAACTGAAAAAAGTCACATACGCTGAAAAAAACATATTATGTTGACACAGGCCCTAATATATGCAAGAAACTATTCTTTTTTCGGTTTATATACTTAGATTAGCTCTTTAGGGCCTGTGTCCACATAGCGCTTTGTTTCAGCAGAAAAGTGCTGGCAGGGCCCTGGGGAGTGCTTCATCCCAGCGCCTCATTAAAAAAGCTCCCTGTGCTTTTTTAAATGTGCTCCCCATGGGTATGTTTCTATCACAACAATATATTGACACTAACATTAGCTACTTTGCGACCATAATACTACATTAACAGAGGGTTGACTATACAGGTAACAACAAGCTAACAAAGCAAATGGTGAGAAAAGCACAGCACTCACCAGCAACAGCTTAAGGCACTTGAAGGTGCCACACAAAAAAGACGGAGCGCTCTGAAAAAAGACGCTGGGCACAAGTTTTTTTTCTCTAGGCCACCACATGCACTCTCTCCTCAATTGGAAAAAGAAACAGGTGCTAAGAAAAAAAAACACTATGTGGATACAGGCCCTTACATGCATACTTAAATGATGCAGTAGACTATGTTAGTAGATAGGTCGGCTGTGTTTACCTTCAAATTATAGGCTATAGTTATGATAATAGTTTATTTATAGGATCTATGTTTGGCTGCTGGTATTTCTGCCCTAAGGGACTATACTATAAAGCAGTTTGTGTGCTGATAATGCTGTGTGCTTAAATAGATTCAGTGTCACCAGTAAAGCACTATCACACCCAGGCCGTAAAAATATTTTCTCTGAGTAGGAAAACACTGTCGCATGATCCTGATTTAACTGATGTGTGTGTCTCCCTGTGTGTGTGTGTGTGTGTGTGTGTGTGTGCAGGAGGGAGGATGCAGGCCTGTTGGTGTATAAAGACCATTTGCCAGTCAGTCAGGTTGTGGTTGGTGACACAAGCAGAGCTGGATCTGAGGCTAAAGTGACTATAGGACCACTCAAATGCCAGGGGGACCGTGAGTCTCTCTCTCTCTCTCTCTCTCTCTCTCTCTCACACACACTTACACACAAATGAATCTTTCACCAGATATTGAAATATTTCATATCATCAGAGAACTATTAATACTTTCCTCTGTGTCTTGCTGTTGTTTTCTGAAGGGAACTTCTGGAACGCAGCGTCCTTCACCAGCCCTGCCTCGTACCTCCACTTTCCTTCCTTCAGAGGAGAAACCAGCACTGACATCTCCTTCTACTTTAAGACCTCGTCCACTCATGGAGTCTTTCTGGAGAACCTGGGAACCAGTGACTTCCTTCACATTGAACTCAGAGGTGTGTCTGTGTGTGGACACTACACACATTTTAGAATTGTTTCAATGGCAATTAAACACTGCAAGTTAAGATATGAGTAAAAAAAGGGGGAAAAAAATGAACATAGATATTTTACACCAAAATAATGGTATGCTATGTTTGTTCCATGTGTTTTTTTAATTTAGTATGGCAGGCACTAACAGACAGAAATTCAGTAAAATGTATGTTTATGTCACAAAGTGCTTTTCCTTCTTTCTTTCTTCTCTTAAAGGAAACTGTATTGAAACACATAATATTAATGAGATAAGATGTAAAATGTAGTAAAAAACTGACAGTAAGACATGCATAGTTAAAGAAGGCACCAGTATAAGTAGTAAAAGGCCCTCTAGTTAAAGAGTTTTCAGGAGTGATTATAAGATGCTAAAGTCTTAAAACATCACTCATGTTTTGATCCCGGTGCTCCCAGGAGGCTCGATGGTCCTCTTCTCTTTTGATGTGGGCAGTGAGCGGGTGGAGCTCAGCGTTCACTCGCCGGTGCCTCTGAACAACGACCAATGGTATCGTGTGGAGGCTGAGAAGAACATCAAGGAAGCGGTGCTGCAGCTTAATGGACAGTACAGAGAGGTCAGACCCATGCCCCCACAGGGACACACCAAACTGGAGTTCTACAGTGAGCTATATGTTGGTAAGACGCACACACCTCATGTGCTGTACTGTTCTCCACAGTTGTCACATGTAATGTCATACACCACTCCAGTATTACCACATCTTCATCTTGTTCCTGTCTTTACGGTGACTCAGCAGAGATCATAAAATGTTGAATGTGATAGTTCCCTGTGAGTGTGCATTTGACAGCTATTTTAGATTTATTCTTAGTTCTTTGATTAAAACTTTAGTCACATTTTAGTCATTTTTATCCTTCATTGTTTTAGTCTAGTTCTAGTCAAAGATATGTCATTACATCTTAGTCAACTTTTAGTCAGAGTGTTTTCTCTCTTTAAAACAATTACAATAGTAGAGGAATAATAATACGTATCGGAAATTAGAATCAAGGTGACAGGTTGTATCAAGTGCAGAAATTTCATTCAGACATCTGTTTTTTTTTTACAACTACAACTGATTTCTACACAAGTCATTGTTGATTCTGATACCTATTTTAGATTCAGTCCTTACTCATTAGTTTTACTCACATTTTAGTCATTTTTAAACTCCAAACGTTTTAGTCGACAGAAATTCATGACATTTTAGTTAACTTTAAGTCATTATGTTTTCTGTGGTTTCTTTTTATCTTTAAACTAATCCAGTTAGGCTAATTCATGTATCAGAAATTAATATCAAGGTGACAGGTTGTACAAAAATTTCATTAAGAACACAAATTTCTGAACACTTAAACTGTCATCCAGCAATTTTTGATAGGTTTGAGGGGTGATTTAGGAGCAAACACTTACTGACCATCATTTCTTTATTTATGATCTCAAAAACTTTGAGATCACAAATAACTAATATGAGATAACTTGACAACCATTTGTAACTAGGAGCCTCATTTATGAAACTGCAGAGAAATCAATACTTACTGTTTGTGTACTTATGTAGGAAATGTATGTATGCCAAAAAGATATTCTAATTTATAAAACTGTGTCTCCACCTGCCAGACCGCAGTTTCCTTTTATAAATCCCAAATCAACTTGGACTTGGTCTGCATGTGGATCAGCCTCATGTCCTGCCCCCTACACGCCCACATTCAACCATAAATGGTCAGTGCAGAGCATCTCATCAGTGCTGATGCATAGACATGAACCGTCTGATCAGTGGTTCAGTGCAGTAAACCATGCAACGACCAAGAGGAAAATCAAGTTGTTTTCATGTTAAGAGGTGCTTGTGGGTAAGCTGGAGGTTAGAAAGCACAGAGCCTATTGTTTGGTGGACAGTGGAGTCACAGACTAAAGAAAAGGCCGCTGCTTGTTGCTGCTGTTAATGCAGTGAGTTCATCAAATAGGACACTGGCTGACGTATTTTATTTGTTAAAGTGGATGCCAAAAAAAAAGAAAAAAAAAAAAAAAAAGAATTGCACCCCTATGTCTTTGCTAATTTACGCCATCCATACGTGCAGGTGGTGAAGATGTGCAGGTGAGAAGTGCAGTACTGCAGTGTCTCCAGTGCGCTCTGTGTGCCTGACAGCACACCTGTGTTCTGTGCAGCTATTTTATACACAAAAAACTATCTGAAAACTAAAATGGTAAATGGCAATATATGCACAGTATTAGAAAAGATTATTAAAAACTGTTGACGCAGTGTACTGCAATTATTTAATGCTGAATTTCTACAATGAACGACGTTAATTTCATCACTTAGCATGGATAACGTTGTTGAGGTGACAGTGAATCCGTATATTCATGCTTATTATTGGGTAAAGGAAAGCCAAACTTTCCTGAATCCTGTCACCTGCCACAGCCTAGTATCATCCAGCTGTGCATGGTGCTCTGCACAGCTGACCACGAGTATCTACGGCATACAGCCCGGCCCCTCTCCTCTCATATGTGCTCCCAGGGTGGGAATGTGATGGTGAGACAGCGCTAATGAAATACAAAGCAGGATTTGATTTGAGATTTAAGGTGACATATATTTTGCTATTAAAAGATGCTCATGAAAAAGTTCTGGTTCACTGGCACAAACACAAATAACATTTGTATGTTCATGAAGTGGATCTGTAAGATTATTATACATTTAATGATTCCTCTCACATCTAATTTCCACAGTCTGGCTTTAATTCACCACCTCACCATCTGTATCTCCAAAATGTGCATACCCATGGGTCAGAGTTTCCCTAAATTTACGTCCTTGTCAAGTTATTCTTAATAAATCCTAATTCATATTTAGAAAGTGGTGCAAGCACTTTTCAAGCCCTTTTTTGTATATAGGCAGTGGTTATAAATGAGTCCCCAGGTTCACTGATAACTCTGACTTATCTTTCTTACTGTTAAGAAGCAGAAACATATCTTAATTTCAGCCTGAATTATTTTTAAATCTGCAGCATGTTAGTCTGGAGGTTTAAACTTGTGTCCTCTCACAGAGTTGGTGATTGAAATGAAACTGAAAGGAAAACTGCACTGAGTTCAGACAGTTTACTTACAACACAACTACACTCACAGATAACCGAGAATCCTACCTGTCAAGTCCGGTGGCTGCTCGCTCTGCTGCGGTTAGGCGGCTAACAAGAAGAGTTAGCTGCTAACAGCTGCCGCTGCAACCAACAAACTATAAATTCATTCAGCAGCTCCACCATTCACAATCAGACACACACAGCTGCTTATTTACTGCAGAATTACAGTTCCCACCTCACGCTGAACGCTAAGGCTGCTCCACTGTGAGTGTTTTGCAGGCTAACAAAACATCCTGGCACTGACTATTTACAGCATTTTCCTATTTGGTGGCCCTTCAATCTCGTACTGTTCATACAGGATTAGAAAATCATTGCAAACACGGCTTCCTAGTCGTGATATAATAATTTGATATTAATAATAGTTGATATAATAATAATTTAGCATTCTGTTCTCCTCGTCCATCTCGTCTTGTCAGCAAAAACAAAACATACCACAGTTCACAGTTTTTATTATCAAAAATCTATTTTTATCTCGTCAACGTCGTCAAGACTCTGACTAGATGTTCCACAACCATTTCCGGGAGTCCCACTGGGATGAGCCTTCAAAACACAATGAAAAAAACTTTGTATCAGTTAATGATAACAATGTACATTTGTATAGCTACAACTTCTCTGTAACATTCGGTGTGCTGATGGAATGGCTAATGAGTCAGTGGCTGTGAATCATGAATGAAACAGCTGTAGACTTCAGTGCAATGCTTAAACTAATGCCGTGCTTTATGTCTTCTTTCCCAGGTGCTTCAAGTGGTCAGAGGGGTTTCCTGGGCTGCATGCGAGCTCTGAAGGTAAATGGAGTGACCTTTGACCTTGAGGAGAGGGCACAGGTAACTCCAGGGGTAAATCCAGGCTGCCAGGGCCACTGCAGCAGTTATGGGCTGCACTGCAGAAATGGAGGGAAGTGTGTGGAACAGTACAATGGATACTCCTGTGACTGCTCCCTCACTGCGTATGATGGACCCTTCTGCACCGATGGTATGGCCTCCAACACTGAAAGAAACTACAGTAGAGCAGATTACATCATTTTAGATTAGATTGATTCAAAAAGATGTAGCAACTAAGAGTGATCAACATTTTAAAGGTCTTTTAATTTCCCTTCCTTCTTCTGTGTGTTAGATGTTGGCGGCTACTTTGAGACAGGAACCCTGGTGCGTTATGACTTTCTGTCAGAGGTGGGATCTTTCGCGCCGCAGGAGGTGAAAAGCATGTCGGGTGTCGGTGGTCCTAGTGAGGCCAACCTGACCCAGGAGGAGCTGGTTTTTAGCTTCAGCACCTCTAGCGCTCCTAGCATCCTGGTCTACATCAGCTCCAGAACTCAGGACTACCTAGCTGTGGTGCTCAGACACAACGGTGGGCTTATCAACATCATTGCTGATCAAGTTTTTATTTATCATAAATTTATCTGAAAAAAATTGTATATTATATATACATATATATATATGTTGTATATTGTATATTGTATATATATTGTATATATAATGTAACAGCTGTTACATTATTATCTTGCTATAAGACATACTTAATGTCTCTCTGTGTGTGTGTACAGGCACTCTCCAGATTCGCTACAGTCTCGGGGGTCTAACGGAACCTTACACCATAGATGTTGACCATCGTAACATGGCCAACGGACAGCCTCACTCTGTCAACATAACAAGGAACTTAAGGGAGATACGACTACAGGTTAGTGCTTCCTGCAGCTACAATAGTACCTGACAAGGTCAAACCAAATACTGTATGCTGCAAATACGTGGGGAAAAAAGGGTCACATTGCTTTAAAGTAATAGTTGTTATTATGTTTTTTATGATTTTTTTTTCTGAAATGAGAATCAAGTTGACAGGTTGTATACAGGTTTTATAAAATTTTCATTTAGACAATTTTTTCCTGCAACTACGAATCATTTCTACACACTTACAATCTGTCATTTCTCCAACAGTTGTTGACAGGTTTGAGGGGTGATTTATGAGCACACACTTACTGATCATCATTTGAAAAGCTCAACATCTCTCTGTTTATGCTCTCAAAAACTTTGACACCACAAATAACTAATCTGAGAAAACTAGGATTTGTACCCAGGGTCATTATAAACTCATCTGACATCCATCTCACTGTTAAGAAGCAGAGAAAGAACTTCATTAAAGCCTGAATTCTTTCTTAATCTGCAACATGTTAGTCTGGAGGTTTAAACTTGTGTCTTCTCACAGAGTCGGTAGTTAAAACTAATTTTTCATCTCTGCCAGAGAAAACTGAGTTCAGACTGTTTACTTACAACACAGCTACACTGACAGATAACTGAGCCTCATACCTGCCTGTCAAACAGCATCAACCCATAAACCTTCTATAGACAGTCCAGACTGAGTACAAATGGCCATTGTGTGGGTGAAGTATTCCTTTAAATGCACCTACTGCGGTTCATTCAGAAGAACAGGGACACTGATTCTGTAAAGATACATTGTTGTTGAATTTACTGTATGTAATCTTTCCATGCTGTGAGCAGCACAACAAAATTCTTTACACCTCCAGTCGAGGACAAATAATACTGATATGTGCAGGGATAGATACCACAAGAGTTAGACATTTATTTAATTTTATTTTTAGGTCACCTTGCCTTTTAAAGCCCACAGATGAACAGTTCTCGGTGGTAATGACAACAGAGCAGATTAAAGTTATTAGTAAGATTTGTCACTGTTCCTTTCCTCTGTCCATATTTATCAGCTGGACCACTACCCAGTTGCCACATACACCCTACCTGAGGCCTCTGACACCCAGTTCAACTTGGTCAAAAGTATCTTTCTTGGAAAGGTCTTTGGTAAGTGTGAAGATGAGTTGAAGTGTGTGTGTGTGTGTGTGTGTGTGTGTGTGTGTGAAGATCCTTTTCAGACAGGATTGATTTCTCTAAAGCCTATTTACACCTGGTATTAACATGTTTTTCAGTGATCTAAACACAAGTGGACAGCGGGGCACATTGTTGTTCACACCTGTGTCTACCATGCGTCTCCAGCTCACCACTTGTGTTCAGATTTCAATACTGCCTAATCCATTATGCTAGAAGAACAGAGGGCCCTGTGCACAGTTATTACGTCCTCACTCTCATTTGCTAGCTGCTCACCAGCCATGTTAACAGTTGTGTCGGTAAACTGGAGATTTCGCTGGAAGCAGAATTAAACACAGTTCCTTCCAGAGGGTAATACAATTGACGGTCATGCAGCACTTTGTCCAACAGATAGTAACAGTGGTGATTGTTTTTAGCTTGACTTCCTCTTGTTTTTGTCATGGAAAAAAGGTCATTGACAAACAATTTTTGCCATAGTATTTGTCAGTGAAATGAACACTCCTGCAAGTGGTTTAAGTGATCTAATCTCAATTTGTCTTGGTGGTTGTTTACACTTGTATTTAGTGCTGTTAGATTTTAATCCTGTTTAGATGGTGTCTGTGTGTGATTTTCCTCCTTCTGTTCCACTATCACATTACATCACTATTTCGGGCTTTTTGCCTTTAATGTTCAGGATAGAGTGAAATGGGGGAGAGAGAGAGAGTGGGGGGTTGACATGCAGCAAATGGTTGCAAGCTGGAGTCGAACCTGTGACTGCTGCGGCGAGGCATCGCCATTATACATGGGGCGCTGGCACTATCCACTGCCCTACCAACGCCCCAGTCACCAACTACTTATCAGTTTGCTCCTTGGTTCACCAATCACGCACAGTACAACTGGTAATTTAAAGTGTATCTATGAGAACTGGAAGCCCACTGGTGAACAGGGTCACATGATTTATCCACTTGTCTATTACAGAACCTCTTACTGTTGTTTGGCAGTGATTAAAACTGGCATCCAGAATATTAAATTTCAAGGAGCATGGCAAATGTTTTATTACCCACCTCCCTCTGGAATAATAATCTCATCCAACTGGATCCTAATTCTATAGTCGTATTTTAAAGTGCCTACAAGACAAAGAAGCCTTATCTGACAGACTGATTTCAAATTTCAAGCCAATCAAAAAAGGAAAAGAAATTTAACAGTAGATGGTTGAAAGAAAGCAAAAACTGAGGTTATTCCAAGCAGGGGCTTTGCTGTTGGACACAATGGACAAAAAAATCTGTAAAGGGTAGTAGTAATGAGTTGTATCTACTTACTGAAGTATTGATCTGCCTGTCCCTGGAGTGCATATAAAATATGCAGAGATAGTACAGAACTGTCAAATCCAGACACAGTCATGTGTAGCTGAAGCAACGTAGCAGTGCTTTCCCCATGGCCAAACAAATTCGTGCAGACTCTGTCTACTGACCATGCTGAGACTATGAGTAGAGATATTAAGTTTTTCTTAGTCATGTAGAAGGTAACACTCTGCCATGAAAAGAGGTTCGGTTGTTTTGCTTGGTAAGTTTTGTAATTGTCTGACAGTGTTAAAAAGAATAAAATGCTTGCTGTGTCTGTCTTGTAGAAACGGGACAGATTGACCCCATCCTAATCGAGCGCTACAACACGCCAGGCTTTGTAGGCTGTCTGTCAAGGGTTCAGTGGAACAGCGTGGCGCCGTTGAAAGCTGCACTGCGCTCAGGTCTGGCAGCACCCGTCAGCACCCATGGGATTCTGGTCCCATCCAACTGTGGAGCCTCACCCCTGACCATCTCCCCCATGGCCTCAGCTAGTGACCCCTGGCACATAGAAGCAGGTAGAGACACAGACAAACTGACAATCCAGTATCAAGGAACATTAGAACATGCCAGAGTGAAAATATATGTCAGAATTTAGAGAACAAATGTTGCTTTGTCCACAGCTGGAGCTGTTTTCCCCTTTAATGAGGACATGGCCAATGGCGATGGAGTGGATCGAAACTCTGCAATAATTGGAGGTAAATCTCAATTAACTTTTAACTACCAAATGTTAGAGCTGCAGCTGGGAACAGTCTTTAAAGGGGACCTATTGTGCTCTTTTTCAGGTTCATACTTGTATTTTGGGTTTCTGTTCACATGCTTTAATATAACACTATATTTAATGTTAACTAAATTTGTACTCACAAGAACCTTAGTGGTGTAACGCCTGGGCCACGCTACCCGCATGAGCAGCGCTGCTCAGGTATGTTGCAGCTGCTGCTCAGTAGTGGAACATCTAGAGAACAAGAGTCTCACCTATTTTTTCTGCGTGCTGTGCATGCTTTTCAACAAAAATAGACAGTGAAAATGGTCTTTTGATAATTATGTTGACATTATACAATCTTTCACTGCAGTTTCACTGTCTGTATCTGTCACAGACATGAATATATAAAACATTTCTTTTTAACTCAACCTTTCCTGTTTCCTTTTCAAAATGAAAGCCCTCTGACAAAGTTTCTGTTGAAAGAATCCCTTCATTTTTCAACAGAAGGCTTTTTACCCATGAATTATTGTTATGACTGTGTTGTTGACGATGCAGTTTCTTGCACGACACCACCTTCGTGGTACCCGTTACCATGAAGGTGGTTATCAACTGTCTGTTAACCCAGGCTTTCTGCTTCTGGCTATGTGCTCATTTCCATAAAAACAAGTAAAATTAAGTATTCAGTACTTCATTTGACTCATAGGAATGAACACTCCATTAATGAAGGAAAGAAAAATGGCTGTTGTAGCTGATGCAATGACTCTTATTCTGAAAATGTCGAAGGGGCACTGCGCTGATCAGACACATGGCCAGTTTACTCATGAAGAGTTCTACTGTTCACTGTGTTTGTGTGAGTGCAGCTTTAGAAACATCAAAACTGTATATTTAATCTTTACAGTCTATAGTTAAAAGTGAAGTGCTCACTTGTTTTGTTTCCAGGCATCATCTCCATGGTGATCTTCACTGTCCTCTGCATCATGGTGTTTGTGATCCGTCATATGTTCCGTCATAAAGGCTCCTACCACACCAATGAGGCCAAGGGAGCGGAGTCAGCAGACTGTGCCGACGCAGCAATCATCGTCAACGACCCAGCCTTCACCGAAACCATCGACGAGAGCAAGAAGGAGTGGTTCATCTGAACCCCTCTGCACAGCACAGCACGGACACATGACGTTAGGATGTATGTAGTTTTCTAAGCATAGGGAGTAGTAGTGAGGTCACCACCTGTGGAACCTCGAAGATGTGCCGAGTGGTTTATTTAAAAACTTTATGGACAATGGACACCATGGCATTACAGCGTGGGTATTAAAGCACAGGGCACAGTGTTGCCTGGCAGAGCCCGTGTGAAGATGTGGAGCGGTTTATTTTAACTTTATTTAAAATGGACAGTGTGACAGGATGACAGCCTTCAGATGGTGTAGAGGATGGTGCCATGAAGTTGCAGGCCTTGGATGAGTGAGTGTGTTCGTTAGCTTTTATTTTAATATTTATTTATTTATATAATTTTTAATTTGATTTCAGTCTATGTATGTATTTATGTATTCATATTTAAGTCATATATTTTTTCATAAAAGTTCTAACTTTGTTTACATTTATTTATTTTTATAGATTCATATCTTTATGCCTTCGTGCAATGTGCTGGTATTTCAGACAATTAGGGTATTAATGATAATGATCATTAGTCCCAATAATTCTCTACATCTGTAGCAATGCTCATAAAGTCCATTTTTTTCAGTATTGAATATCATGTTTTATCATTTGCCTTATTTGAATTCATTTCAGTTCAATTTAATTTTAGCCTTAAGACTGAAAACTTTGGTGTGTGTGTGTGTGTGTGTGTGTGTGTGTGAGCGTGAGTGAGTGAGTGTGCATGCGCGCTGGCTTGCTTGTCTGTAAAGGAGATGTAGCCATGACTTTGTCCACATCATTTGGACTATGAACAGAAAGGAAACGTCACACTTCTATTTATTTTTGCATCTACATCACTGACAAGTGTCTCTTAATGACTTTGAGCATTGATTGTTGAAATTCTTAATGATTGCATTATTTTTATTTGACTGTTTCTGCTGCCAGATGAGTTCAGGGGTGAGTTCAGTTTTTGAAGAATGAACTGAGTCCTGTCAGTCCACAAGAACTTGATGCACTGGTTTGTTTGTGTTTTTCAGATTTGTGAGGCAGAGGTTGTCTTATGTTAGCAATGCTGGTACATAATGCAAAAAGAAAAAAAAAAACACTTGTCAAAAAGTGATACCACATTCCAGGAGGTTTCTTAACAGGTCTCTTAACAGAATTGCAATTTAAGGAACATTACAACATTGTGGAAATCTTTTTTTGCCATCTGACTGTCAGATAAGATTGAGTTATCTTGGTGTGTCTAGTATGACAGCACAAAGATTGGAAGCAGGAGGAAACTGCTAGTCTGGCTCCATAACAAGTGAACCAATACACCTACCAACAACTCCATTGCTGCAATTTATATTGTCAGTGTTGTTAGCTAGTACAGTAAGCTCTCTCCAAGAGCCATCTTTGTTGACAGAAAGAGGTAAGATAGAGCTTAAACTAGGGTTGGGCGATATATCTTATATACTCGATGGATCGGGGTTTGTTTCACGTGGGATGTATGAAATGACTATATCTCAAACATCAAGTATAAATGGTCACGTGTTCTTTTTTTTAAGCCACCAGCATGAGACTTGCTTCAGTGTTTCAGTTTTCACGCTCTCTCCTGTGGCTCTCCGCCACCCACAGACACAAACACATAAAGAAAGACAAACATGATACGTCACATACACTCCTTCACCTATCCAGATCACTTTCCTCTGAGCGACAGTGTGTGAGCAGGCGAGGTGTGTTTCTCATCTGCAGGACTCCAGATCATGCCCATTTACTCACATTTTGTGACCATGGAGCACCACTGCAACTTGTAAATATTATTAATATATGGCCTGGAGAGCTGTTAGTTTGTTTCCAGCTTACAGTGAATAAATCCTCACATTTAAAGGTGCTACAGCAACAGTTTAACTTCATCAAGACATCAAGACTTTCTGCCAGATATAAACCAGGTGCTTCAAAATAAAAGCACCAGTGGTTCTGCTTTGATTTATTTGATTGTAACAATACTTTATTTAACTTTATTATAACAGTAATTGCCCTGCAATAGTCTGCCGACCTGTCCAGGGTGTATCCTGCCTCTCGCCCTATGTCAGCTGGGATAGGCTCCTGCCCCCCTGCGACCCCCAACAGGATATGCGGTTACAGAAAATGAATGAATGAATAACAGTACTTCAGTTAACTTTATAATGACATTAGCTACTTTTTTTAACTTAATTGTTACTATCATTCATTTAATAATTCTGTATTTTCGTAGACAACAGTTGTTTAGAGGAGATTTCAAAATATTGTGATATATATCATGAATCGCGATAATGCCTTAAAATATTGCAATAATATTTCAGTCATATCAGCCAGCCCTCACTCAAGTCTGACAATCCTACTATGAGGACAGGAATTTCAGTGTTCTGGTTGGTAAAGAAATACCACCAATACTTACAGCACCTAAAACTATTATGTCTTTTTTGATTTCTACACAAGATAAAATGTGTGAAACATGGATTGGAGTTATTAGAAGCAGGCCTGAAGTCAGAGCCACTTAAATCCATGAGGTCCAAGTCCAAATGGTTTTATGATAAATTTAAGAAAGAGTCCAAATGGGGTTTGGATGTGACTTAAAGGGACAGTTCACACCAAAATTAAAAATAAACATTTTTCTCTTACCTGTAGTGCTATTTATCAGTCTAGGTAGTTTTGGTGTGAGTTACCAAGTGTTGGGGATATTGCCCGTAGAGATGTCTGCCTTGTAGGAACTCAGTAGAATCTCAGTCTATTGAACCACACCTGCCAACCATATCATTGTGCAGAAGGAAGTATGCATCCACTGCTAGCTCATCGAGCACCAGCTAACATTACAGCTCAGCCGAGGGGGATGCATCTTGCACAGTAACGAGTACGAGCCTCTCATGCATGAGTAGATGCAAGCTTTCTTCTGCATGGTGATACAGTTTGCAGGTGTCGTTCAGTAGAAAGAAAATAGTTCCTACATGAAACTGCTCACAACAAGGATCATGATTTCTGGATAGAGACATTGCTGTTGAGTTTTTCAAATGTGTTTGTTGGGGCTTTTTAGCACCACAAGCTCGTTGCCATCTAGTTCCATTATATTGGAGAGAACACAGACATTTCCAATACTCGGCAACTCACATCAAAACAATTTAGATTGCTAAATAGCACTAAAGTTTTGATTTGGGGTTGAACTGTCTCTTTTAGATAGAGCCCAAATGGGCTTGACATGAAACTGAACAAAAAATTACTCTTGCCCTCCTGTTTCTTTTAGTGCATGTCAACAACTTCTAAAGGAACAGCAAAAAAAAAAAAAAAGATACTTTTGTCACAAGCATACTCCTCCACAGTGTTACAAGCTAACTATAAATATCTGATGTCTTAGTTTAAGGTGAAGACACACTACTGAAAATGATCAGTATGGTGTAAATGAGAGCCAGGAACGGTATATGTGATCTTGAGTTCAGGGCGCTGCAGCCTCTCTAGTCTGCTCATACAGCAGCCAGCTGGCTGTTCAAAAATCAGAAAATTAAAAGCTAAAGACAAGGCTAAACCAAGGTTAAAACATCCGTAAGATTAGGACACGTTTGAAATAACATAACATATCGAGAAAAATTGAGTACTACAGCTCTGGTTGGAAGGTGTAATTATTTCACTTGTGATAGATGAGCAGTTATCTCTGTGCTGGATGAGAGATGAAACTGATACTGGTCATCTCGTCCAAGATGGCAAAACAAGTAATTTGCCTAAATGGTAGTTTCTCTCTTCCTTTAAATGGACATAATCAGCCTCTACTGGCAGCATGTTGGGAACTACAACTTCCCCAGCTCCTAAGAAAGTTTCTCTTATTTTATTTACATGGTATTTTGGAACCTAGATTCACCAGTGCTACTGATTTTAATTTGTTAAGATTTAGTGAATTTGGGGTTAGAGGTCAGCCTCTTCCTGAACAAGGTAGAACAACTCTTTGCTAAGTCTTCAGATAGACTCAAAGGACTCTTAGTTCTTCTAAAATCTGACCTTTATAGGCCTGACCTGTCTTTTATTTTTCAGAAGTAGGATGATGTTTCTGGAAAAGAATGTTTGTTACCCACATACAAGTCTATGGCTTACATCCTGACATTTGATTGTATTGCATTTGTATTCCTTTGACTGCACTGCAGTGTAATGGCATGCTGTTTGACACTGAATGACACACACGTTTCTGTTTGATAAGCCACTGTAGCATCACATTGCTTTTTCTTCATGTTATATGTATAAAACTTTGCTTAACTGTTCTTCTCTTTATAGCCGATTTTTCATTCTTTGTGCTTTTCTCATTGTCTTGAAAAAAATTATGCTTCCCCCTGGAAAGACCAGTAAAATATCAGTACAAATCTTACACTGGCTAATATAAGTTTTTTGACCAAACACAGCTGGATCCAGATGATTTACATCTGGAAGAGAACTATGATTGATTGCCCCCAGCTTTCAACAGAAACTGCTACTTGAAAAAAGAAACTAAAATTACTGTCCCACGGTTGTATACCTCTGTTCACCAGTCAAGTTTCTCTTACAGTTTACATCCATATCTGTGAAAACATGAATGCTTCACACACATCTTCCCAAAGACAACACAGAAGACCTATTCAATCAGCACAGTTTCAAGGTGGACACCCAAGATGAGTGTCACCAGTTTAGTATCTGACCAAATGTCTTCCCTTCTGTTCCTGAGATATGATACTGAGTGACAGCCAGAAAAGTGTTTTTGCAGAACATTATAATGTCACAGCAAAGCTGACCTTTGACTTTTGGACACAAAAAGTCAGCACTCATTTTATCCTATTAGACATTTATGTGGAATTTTGTCATAATAAAAGTTTTGTGAGGTCACACTGACCTTGACCTTTGACCACCTTATTGAGATATTGCATTCATGAGAATGAGATGGATGCAAGGTCACAGTGACCTTGACTCTATACCACAAAAATCTAATCAGTTCATCCTTGAATCCAAGAGAACGTCTGTGCTAAATATAAAGAAATTCCCAAGGCATTCATGAGATATCATGTTCATGAAAATGGCACAAACTTATGGACGTACTGATGGACAACCAAAAACATAATGCCTCAGGCCACTGCTATCGCAGTTGTGGAGGCATTTAAAAGAAAAAAAAATATCAATATGGAGATGTTATGGAACTGGAGATGTAGCATGCATTAATCTACAGAAAAACAGAAAGCTCAAGAGAGCGTAAACATCTTGAACTCTATGCCAAACCCACAATAGACTGTGTAAGCCTAAATTGAGGTCAGCTCCTCATAACAGAGAGGGCTCCCTCAGAACAAATGATGACTTGCAGTGACTTTAAAAGTGACATGTCAAAATGCAGACACTCCACCAGAGGGCAGCATCAAACAATAAATAAATCTTCTTATTTCAATTTGATTGTTTTTATACAACATATTTTTAGCAATTCATCAAACCTGACATGACAATACTGTAATACACCCCTGCAAAAGTACATGAATGTGGGTGTCGCTCATGGTGGCAGACATGCACTGACCATCACTTTCCTCCACTGAGGGCCCACCTACAATAAAATGTCAGTGGCATGGGATGTAAATGACACCCTGTAGTCTTAAAACACAAAATCTTTAAGCAGAACATTGAAAACACTATCAAAAAATTCACTGTTGGCCAAGACTTAAATTACATGCTATAGGCCTATGGGACATTAGTATAGAGTATTTTTTGCTGCTTAGTTGAATGATGATGAAACTACTCTGAATATGTCACATAAAACATTTTAAAGTAACACCAGACTGTTTCTGCTGCTGAAGTAAAGAGTGGAAAAATAGTTAATGACTAATGAGGTCTATCTGACTGAAATGTGACATTTATAATAACAGGAGGCAATAAACAGTGTGTGGATTATTTTACTAGCAAAATATTATGTTTTATCCTAGTTCTCATCACACAGGTGTCTCATGTTATGTTGAGCTGCAGTGATGGAACCAGAGTGTAAAATAGCAACACTGTCAGCAATCACTGTGGACTAAAGTAAACTTTGCATAATTTCTAAGAGTGCTAAAATCATGTGTCTGTTGATGTTAATGATCTCCGTTTGTTAGAAGCTCTGTTTCAAAACCAGTGGAAAAAAAA